GTTGGGAGTCTGCCTGCCGATGCGGGGGACAAGGGTTCGTGCCCCGGTCTGGGAGGGTCCCACATGCCGCGGAGCGGCTGAGCCTGCGCATCCAGAGCCTGTGCTCCGCAGCAGGAGAGGCCACAGCAGTGAGAGGCCCGCGTACAGCAAAAAAAAATAGTCTTCCTTTAAAAAAAAAAATACGAGGAGGGATGAACAGCAAAACCAGTCAGTCATTGACAAGACCACCTCCTTCACTTGACCAACAGACTTCCCCAAAAGAGATCACCTTTGTACTGTTTTTTCTTCGGGGGAAGAAGAGTAGAGTGAGGTAGCAGGGAGAAAATATCATGAGTTAGGAAAGATATACATGATAAATTCAGTTCTATCTTTGAAAGATCAGAAACAGACTGTTCCCAACCTGTAATGATGCCAATTTTCAGCAACTCTAGCCATGAAAGACCCAATCCTAGTAGTGTTGGTAGCCAGATATTCTCCCTTCTGGGGACCTTGAGTTTTGAAATTCCAGTGACGGGGACTCCCAGGAAGCTACAAAGAGACCTAGATATCCTGATGCCAAGTAACACTGTTAGAAAAGATTTCAGAATAAATGTAGCTGTCAACTCATCTCATCCCTCTAGACAGAATTGTAATTGGAGTCAGGGAAATAGACCAGATGACCTCTAAATGTCCCTTCCAGCTCCACCATTCAGTAAAGCAATCTCCTGAGAGAAGGAAGAAAGAGAAAAGTAAGAAGAACACCCTCAAGGGCTTCCCTGGTGGCACAGTGGTTGGTAGTCCGCCTGCCAATGCAGGGGACACGGCTTCCATCCCTGGTCCGGGAAGATCCCACATGCCGCGAAGCAACTAAGCCCATGGGCCACAACTACTGAGCCTGCACTCTAGAGCCCGTGAGCCACAACTACTGGGCCCACACACCACAACTACTAAAGCCCGTGAGCCTAGAGCCTGTGCTCTGCAACAAGAGAAGACCCCACAATGAGAAGCATGCACACGGCAACGAAGAATTGTCCCCACTTGCCACAACTAGAGAAAGCCTGCATGCAGCAACGAAGACTCAACGCAGCCAAAAGTAAATAAAATTTTTTTAAAGTTAAAAAAAAAAGAACACCCTTAAAACAAACTATTGTTACAGGCAGCTAGATAATAATGAAGAGTTAGCAGACTTGTGATCAATACCATCTCTGTCACCCACTCATAGAGCAACCTTCTCTTCTCCAAGCCTTATATAGAGTATAGATTAGTTGGTACCTTCGAGGGTCCCACAAAGGCTCTCTTGCCACACTAGCCCCTCTCTTCCCAGAGAGCTATTCAAGGAGAAGCCTAAAGGAAATCCCCAAGATGGTTCCTGCTCTATCATCTAAACTTTCACAGAGGGCCAAGTGAACTGGAGAACCGAAGAAGTGGACAAATGCAGGATCCAAAGAGTAGTCTCTCTCACATAACCTCCATTCCTGATCCTTTGTCCACCTCTGAAGTCTACAGGCAGGGAAGGTTAAGAGACTGATATTCTGCCTCCTATTCAGCAAGTACCACTTTAGTGCCACTCGAGTGGCTCAAGTATTGCTAGGAATGGCAGGAGAATAAACAGTCCACACAGCCCCTGTTAAAGTTTAGCTGAATGCAGACCCAGAAGCCTTCAAATACTTCAAGGAGCTGGACTCCTTACATCTGCTCACATGGATGGTCCCATCAATGACCATTTGATCACCTTTCCCCTGACCTGTTGAGCTAGAGCTAAAAACTCAGCAAACTGAAGAGGTTTTACGAAGACTGATCCTCTAACTAAGTCCCAGATTCAAATCCTAGCTTCACTACTGACTTGCTGCATCATTCTAGGTCAGTCCCTCCTATCTGTGGGTCTCAGTTTTGCCATCTATACAATGAGAACAATTGGACTTGACAACTGTGAAGAGCCTTTTCGACTCTAGTAAACCAAAAACTCAAGAACACCTTGAAAATTCAAAACAATCACTTTTCAGGGAATCCAAGAGTCCCAAAGACTTTGTGATCTAAAAAAGTTAAAGAGGGTAGGGAGGGGAAAAAACCTTTTTTTTTTTTTTTTTTTTTTTACAACTGTCTTATCATCATCACAAAGTATAGACAGTAGTTAATAAACTTCTTCATTCTGGCTACTAAAGCAGACTCAGGAAACTGACAAGTAGAAGCACAGAATCCAAGAACTGGTTGGGGGGACGGGCATGTAGAGGGGCATGTTTTAACAGATTTAAAGGTAGCTGGGTGACTAAGGGAGAAAATTGGCTGTAAAAGTGAAACTAACCCTAGACGGACCGTAGACATATGAATGAATGGATTTGATTTTTCCACTACCTTCCCTATCTGTCATACTCCAGAAATAGCCTAAAGCACACTAGTGAAGAAGGAATAGAGAATAAGGAATTTTTTCTCTTCATTAAAGTTACTAGCTGGTATGCAGTGAACTATAGTGTGCCCCTGGATGCCTCAGCATTGGGATAAGGAATGAGAAAAGTAACATGAGGCACTTTGTGACACCTCAAACTCTCACCAGGAGACCACACAAATGCCAACCTTGGTTACTTTGCCCAAATCATCCACTTCCTTTTATCTGAGGACCAGAAGTCCTGAGAATAGGGGCCAATTTGCTTTGAGCAAGAGAGGGGGCTCAACTTCAAAAATCCTTCACTGAGTGAGAATACAGGGTCAATGGAATGAGCATCAAAAAGCACAGACCCCAATCTTGGTTCTGTCACCATGTGCCCTCAGGTGGTAAGTCCTTTCCTGTTAGGCCTAAATATCCTCATTAGTTGAGAGAGAGAGAGATACTAGATAGTGTCTTGAGATCCCTTTCAGGTTAAGATTCTATGGTCTTAACAGGCATGATATAGTTGTTTCTCCTAAAAGTTGACCATTCCTTACTTGGGACAGGTCCCATTGCCCAGGTGGGCGTCGCCCAGGTGGGCTCAGGAATTTCATAACCATTGCAACATGGTGGGGAGGGATATTAAGAGTCAGGTAGGGGGTGTAACACTGAAACTTTTTCAGGCAGGGTCGTCCTTTGTCCTTGAAGCACCATTGTCCTTGGAGCACCACAATTCCTCGAGCCAAACAGCATAGGAAATTCTCCAAATCTGCCAGTCTATCAAAATTCAGCCCTCTCCTTCCAACATGATTCAAGTTTCAGTCAATCTGCATAAAACTACTTTCAGTATTCAGGTACTTTCAGTACCCTAGGCCTGACCTCAAACAGCTCATACTCCAATCTCTCCACAGCAGGAAAAAGATCACCATGCTGTCTTCTTTGCCACTTCTGACTGAGATAGGATGGTTTAGATAACTTTGAAATAATTTCCAGGCCCATTAAGTTGCACGTAAATGACAGATATCTCAGGATTGAACAGGAGACATGTCACTAAAGAAAAGCGGTTGTGGGGCACAGTCTATTCCCAGAGATCCACCCACCTATTTAGGCAAAGCCACATCTGAAGAGGAGTCAAAGAGTCAACCACAGAGAGATAAAGCCAAAGAGAGGCTCCTGGAAGGATTTTTATAATCCTCTGTGATAGCAGAGACTGCCCTCCCTGCTTTTCAAAACGATTCTGTCTCACTTTGTGTGTATGTGGGGCGGTGGAGGGGAGTGTGTGGAAAAGCCCCCATGTCATAAAACCATTAGCAACTGAAAAGAGAGAGATGGTAGAAGTACACACTTGTTGAAAACTTGGTGTTTTTGAAGGACAGGTTCTGGAAAGGCAACAATGACTTCGCAGTAAGGCTGGAACACAGCAACGTGGCAACTAAAGCTCAGCACACACCAAACTGGGCCCCCCACTCCTCTCTTTCAGGGACCCTCAGTCCTTCTCAAGGCTACTAGTCACTATCTCATCTCTACAAGGCTCAGGCAGTCCTAGGGAGAGAGGTCTGGGATAACTGCATAGCCTAAGCCAGTGCAACAAGTTGCCTGGCCTAAGGGACTCAAGCCAGGGCGGTCACCCAGCTTTCCTGGGAAGAGCCTCAGCAGCCATTTGGCATGACTTGCACAAAAGCAAGCAGGGCTCATTATTCAGGCACACCCCTCCCCCCTCCCTCCTGGGCATCCGGCCCCCCCTAGGTCCCACTCCCAGGAGGCTTCTTCTCTTCTCAAAACAGCCAGTAGGGTGGAGACCAGATCCTTAGAAGCTACCACCACCCTAGAAAGGTGTGGCCCCACAGGAGAGTCCACACCTCACAGAATAGTACGGAGTGAATAGGAGGAAATAGAGAGCCAGTAAGTAATGGGAAAGGCAGGGATTTGGTGAGTGGAGAAGAGGAAGAAACCAGTCTTCTTCTCCCCGACCCGCACCCCACCGCGCGCGTCCAGCCGCCCCCAACCGCGCGCGTCCAGCCCGCCCCGCTCTCAAATTCTTCCTGCCTCCCTTCAGACTGGTGCCTAGTGAAGTGTTAGCGCTCCCGGTTAAGAGCAAGCGGCCTCGATGAGTCTGTCCACAACTCTCTCCTCCCCTCCTAGTGGGAAACAGCTGAAGCCGCCTGGGGAGGCTGTGGGAAAGGTGAGTGGGGTTACGGGATCCGCCCTGAGCAGCTCCCACCCTCCTCCTTGCTTCTCGGTTCCCATGGCCCCTCCTGGTCAGTGGCAGCCTCGCCCCATAAAAGCGCCAATTCCTGGACTGGGGTAAGTGTCCTCCTCCGAACCAGAGTCCTCTCCCCTGCGCCCAGGGCCCGTCAGGGGTAAAAGGAGACCTTGGGCCCCCAAGGAAGCCTTCCCTACTGTGGCAATCCAAACACAAGGAACTAGAATCTGAGAAAGAAATCGGACCGCCCGGCCCACACTTCTATCCCTGGACCCCTTTACCCGCGAGGACGCGCCAGACCCGGGCTCCACTGCCGCCCCTCCCCACGCCTGGCCTCGGCGGAAGGCGCGGCATCGCGAGCGGACGCGCGGCTGCCCAAGTTCCTGGCCATCGGCGAGGGGCTATGAGGGTCCGCAAGAGCCCCCGGGGTCGGAAGCGCCCATCCCCGGCACTCACCGTCTTGGGCATGGTGGCGGAAAAGGCGGCGGAGTTGGTGAAGTTTGGCTGGGAGCTGTCGGACGGCGCTGAGAACGCAGTACACACGGCTCGGACTCCGGGGACTGGGGTCTCGGACTGGGTCTCTCGCCAGCGTTGGGGCGACTGCTCCGCTTCCTGCTAACGGGCCACGACTTCACAAACCCCACCCAGGAAAGAGCCGCCCCCGTCGCACCGCCCGCTCCTTTATGTGGCCCGGCTTCCGCACCGCTCCCCGCCCTCGCGCCCGCCTTCTAGCCGGCCGCGGGCCTCGCCCCGCCCAGCCCAGCCCTGCCCTGCCTGGCCACACCAGCTACTCGGGGGCCAGGCTGGGCCTGGGCGCCCCGGTGGGGGCTCTCACCCCTCACCTGGGCCTCCCTGCCCCTCTCCCACCCCCTTCACGGCCCCTGGCCCTCAGCATCCGGGCCATTCGGCCCCACCCCCAAGTAGGGCTGGGCCCTAGGCCGCACCCTGGAAAGAGGCTTACAGCCCTGACTGCAACTTTCCACTAATGGAGAGCTCACTACCTGTCAAAACTCTCCGTTCCTACTCAAGACGGCTCTGACTCTCAGAAAGTTCTTCCCGTGTGTATTTGAACTCTTCTGTGGCTCCGCCTATGGATCTCAGCTCTGCTCCCTGAGACAACACAAATCCCCTGCTGTCCCTAACTCCTCAGAAGTCTGAAGATCCCATATCCCCCTGAAACTTCTTTTCTCTTGGCTAAACTGCCTCAGCTTCTCCAACACTTCATCGATTCTCTTCTGTAGGATTCTATATCACTTTTCCCATTATATTTCAACCCCATCCTTGCTCAATCCTCATTTTTATCAGAATTGGGCTCCTTTTTCCCATATCTGTCTCTATTCACTTTGCTTCCTACAAATCCCAGTCTCCACTTTCTTCAAATCCTGATCCTATAGCCCCCACAACACATTCACTGATACCTGATTCACTGTCTGATAATTCCCCCAGGTTAGATGCACCCCCAGTCCACTCCTTTGAGATATGTCTGCCAGCACCCTTTCTGCTTCTTGTCAAGGTCACAGAATCCCAGGATAGAGGTGTTCTAGACTGTAACAGTCATCTAGTCAAGTCTGAGCTTTAGTTTGAAAGTGACGGGCCATAGTTCTTTTTTCTACTATCCACTGGTAATTGTGCGGAGGCATGGTCTGAGTATTCTTTGTGAGGTAGGGTAACACATACCTCAGGGATGATGAGCCAGCTTGGGGCAGTGAAAAGGATATTTGAGAGGGATGGTCGGGACACCTGGATTTTAGTCATAGCTTTGCCATTAACTCACTCTTTGATCACTGTGTAGCCTTGGGTATGTCCCTTCCCCTCTCTGGGCTTGAGTTTCCCCTTCTGTAACAAGAAAGGGCTGAACTCCTGGGCTTCCAAGGTCCTTTCCCACTCTGACATTATAAAAGGATAACAAAGGAAGTAGACTTCCTAGGACAATAGATGAGTCTAGCAGGGTTGCATAAAGACTGGCCTTGCATTTGCTCTCAGGAATCAGCAGTCCTATTCTCTACTCTGCTTTCCCAGCTCAACAGGGTCCATGCATCAATGTGCCTCAGCTTCTCTCGGTGCTGTCAAAATCCATTGATATGTGCTAGGGAAAACAGAGTTCCCTGCCCAGACCATTTTCTGGAGCTGAGCAGTTGACCCAAGGAAGAGCAGCACTCCCCAGAAAGCCTCAGCAGCATGGGTAGCAATGGCATCAATCACATTCCTTGACATTGTCATGGCCCTTTTCTCCCAGGAGTTCAAGGAACTCACTGATTCCCTCATTCATATTCTAGAGCTCACAGGGGCCTGGAACTAGGCTGAGTGCCTTAAGCGGGAGGAGAAATTGATTGAAAACTCCAACTTTCATTGTCCATCCTGGAAAGTGGAAACCCCCTGTGTGTCATTCCCCACATCCCATGCCAACACACCCCCTGCTCCAAACACACACACATAAGAGACCTGATTAGGGAGTGTCAAGCATCTGAACACAGTATTAAAAGGGAAAAGAGACACAGGAGTTCAAGTGAGGGAAGGGAAGTCAAAGGGTAGGGAAGCAAGAAGGTTGATGGAAAGAGGGGCTAAGAGAGGAGGTGGTTAGCCCCCTGGGGAGAAGGGTGGGGAAATGGGAGGAGACTGTTTAGTCTAGCCCCCATTCAGGTCAAGGGAACTGAGGATCCAAAAGAGGAAAGAACTTACTCAAGATCGGGCAACTAGTGTGGAGAATGGATTCAGGGGTAATAAGACAAAGAGCTCAGTTAAGCTGTTTCTGTAATACAAGCAAAAATTTTTGAAGGCTAGAATCAGAGGAGTAGTGCTGCTGCCACTTCACCAGACAGAAGTTTGTTATGGTGATTATAGTCAAGCAGCTGGACATTGCTTGAAGGTTAGACTTGAAACCTCCTGGCTAGGAGGGACCCATATTTGATATCTCCATGTCTCCAAAGCAGAGCAGAGGCAGCTGAGGTGCCCTCTTGTTCTTCAAGATGGCCAGTGAAACACACCTTTGTTTTTACCTCTTTGTAAAATACTTCATGCCTATATGGCCAGAACTAATCTCCCCCACCCACCCCACACCCTACCATGATCCCATGTGAATTGAGTTAGCTCAATCTTCTTGGGGCCAGAGTAATCCCAATACTTAGCTTTAGACATGATGAGGTTTATGCCAGTGTTTGTAGAGAGAAGACATGGGAGTAAGGGCTAAACATCCCCATATATGTTGGCTGGGTGAGGGAAGTAAGAGGTATGAAGATATTTGGGGTTTTTTTTGGTTTGTTTTTTGTTTTTAATAGTGTGTTCGGGGCACACTATCACCTATTCTGCCTTTTATTAATTTTATTTATTTATTTTTGCTGTGTTGGGTCTTTGTTTCTGTGTGAGGGCTTTCTCTAGTTGTGGCAAGCAGGGGCCACTCTTCATCGCAGTGCACGGGCATCTCACTATCGCGGCCTCTCTTGTTGTGGAACACAGGCTCCAGACGCGCAGGCTCAGTAGTTGTGGCTCACGGGCCTAGTTGCTCCGCGGCACGTGGGACCCTCCCAGACCAGGGCTCGAACCCGTGTCCCCTGCATTAGCAGGCAGATTCTCAACCACTGCGCCAGTGAAGCCCAGACACTTGGGTTTTTAGAAGAGCTGAATTCAAAGTTCAAGGAGGAACAGGCAACTATTTTTCAAGCAGTAAAGTTAGGTGAGGGGCAGTGCAATGACATTCTGAAGCTGGAGTCCAAAGAAGCTGGGGTGAAGGCGGGGATCTGAATCAGGGGGTAAGAGATACAAAAGGAGAAATCTGACCTGTGCTTTAGGGCCATACATGGGGTCAAGTGGAAAGGCTCAGGATTCCTCGGAGGCTGGGACTGTTCCAGAGCTGCCCCACATCTGGATGTCAGAGTCAAGGAAATGGCAAGCAGGAACTGAGTAAGTCTGATTTATGTGAAAGCCTATGCCAAGCTTAAGAGAGAAATGAGATTGGACTTGTAATCACTTCCCACTCAAGATATAAGCTCACTGCAGTAAAGAAGCTTCTGCATTCTAAATGGTATTCCTCTTTCAGAGGACACAATAGTGCAGGAGAGGCAATATCAGAGAGGAACTGGGTAGGGTACAGTCCTGAATCCCAAGAATACTTTGACTAAAGAAGCATTCCTCCCCAATCCATTGGATGGTAACAGTTAAAAGTTCCCCTTCACTCAGAACTTTCTGAGGGCTGCTTTTCATTTTCATCATTGTTAGAAAGTCCTTCTTTACATCTAAATTAGATCTCTTCTGCTTCACTCCACACAATTGCTCTTGGCTGATGTTTGGGTAAGGAATTAACTAAGCCTCTAAGTTGCTCTTCTCCTTCATTCATAGAAGAGAAATTTAACAGAGAGGTGAGGACAAACATAAGCTTAAGGCTATGCACTCAGAGTCCTTCTCTCTCTCTCTCTTAATTCCCCTGGATCAGCAGCCCAAGCACTAGGCTAGCTGTGCTCTTTACACAAACAAGAAAATAAGCAGAAGAATATACTCTTGTCTCCCCAAAGGTAAGAGGTCCTCTTGTCATAATATGGCTGAGAGTAAAAACTGCAGCAGTAGAGAAGTCTTGCTTTTAACCATCCTCAATCTTCTACCTACTTCTTGGAAACAAAAGCTAGGGTTTGGTTTAAAGAAGAGAAGATAACATTAATGAGGCACTTATCGTGTGCTGGGCAGTGGGGAGGCCATTTCAATACCTAACAAGAACCTTTAAGGGTAGAAATGAGGAAATTTAGGGTCTAAGGAGTTATCTAAAAGTCACACAATTTGTTGTTGGTGGGACTGGGATTTGGGCTCCGGTCCTGTGAGTCCAAGGTCCAACTTCTTTCCACCAGCCTGACCTGTGACCTTCTCAGTCCCTAGCTGTGACCAGGCAAACCCGAGGAAGGAGATGGATTTTAAGATTCATATCACCCCTGCACCTCAGTGGTCAGACTAGACAGCTTGAGAGAGTGGGTGTGTAATAATAATAAACAGTGGTAATATGGCATCTTGCCAATATAAAGTGCCTGGGTATATTTATTATTAATCCTACAAATGGACCACAGTGAGAGGGAAGAGAGTTTCTCTCTGGCTTTTCCTCTTAGTAGTAAGGCTGGAAGCTTTTTGAGAGCTTCCCCCAGCCAGCCAATATCAATTAAGTTTGAGCCAGTGCCATCTTGGAATGTGGAATTATCCCTGCAGAGAGGGTCTCCCAGTGGAGTCACTAGCTCCCAGCCCTACCCCCAGCAGCCAGTGACCAGCAACCACACCTATGTGTCCGGTGTGCCTATGGGGCCCAGAGAGAAAACAGCCCACTGAGCACATGGCCCTTCCTTCTGTGAACAACCCACAATTCAAACTCGATACACTTAGAAGGAAACTATCCATCTGTCCATCCTACCCATGCCTCCAGCGGTGACCAGGTGCCTGCTGGGTGCCCAGTTCTATGTGAGGCTCTGCAAGGGGTACTCACCCTCTTCCTCCCCAGGAGCTCTCCTTCCCAGCCGCTCTGTTTGTTGGTGGTTTTGCTGTTAGCGCCGTCCTTTGTATGCACGATGTCGTCATCTTTAACTCTCCTCTGCCTTCCCCCCTACCATCTGATCACCAAGCCCTGCTCTCTGTCTGTCTGTCCTTCATAGCTTCTCTCCCTCCCATCGCTG